GTTTAATTTTTGGGGGTCCATTGGGGTGTCACAATATAGTTTGGTGTAATAACAGTGCACTTCCGCCTTGACCTCCATTGGGTCAGTTGCCATGGTGCCATCAACTTTGCAGACCTGTGTGCACATGGGCTGGTTGCCGCAGGAGTGGAATTGGCAAAAAAGTATGATAAGCAGGTTTTGCCTTATTTCTATAAACCTACCTTTTCTTGATATCTTGATTCTGTGCTGGTGTTTGAATATGAGAGCATTTATGCGGGCTGATATTTCCGCCCATTTGTTACCTCAATTGGGCTGTAGCCTGACTTTGGGACATTGAGCTTAAAGGTAGTCCAGCTACGCCAAGGTGAGCCTAATTGTGGCTGTATCGGTGGTGTACTTGTGTGAGGCGATGTGGTGAGTTTTATATTAATTTGGATTTGAAATTTGCCCAGGTTCTGATAGGATCTGATATGAGCAGGGATGTGAATTCTGGGTTCGTGGCCTCATGTTAAACCCAGTCAGATATTTTAGGCAATTTTATGTTTTCTGGCAGTAGCTTCCTCCAAGTCGACGCCTGTGTGGGAATTCAGGTTGTTGAGAGCTGCACCAAGATGAGTCAGTAGTCAGAAAAATTGATTTTTTGTTGTGAATTTGAAAATGTTCCAGCGGTGTATTTTTGCTGCAAGGATGAAGTTGATGTTACTAATTGATGTGAGCGTTCCCTCATGTATGTTGGGGCGGGTCATGTTAGGAAGGAGTGGTGACCTGGGGGGGGTCATGTAGGCCTAGGGATGCCTTCATTGCATGGAACTCAATGTGTCCTGGTGGGTATCCCATGGTACTAGGCCATTGGTCCATGTTAGAGTTATCCCAACAGTTGAAGTCTCCCATTAAAATGGTATCAGGTGGGAGGGCGAGTTCTGGGATGGTTTCAAGGAATTGTTTCCTCTCAGCTACGATGCACGGTGCATAGATGCTTGCTATCAGAATTGTTTTCTCTTGGTTTATGACTGTTGCAACCAGGATTCAGCTGTGCAGATATGAGGATGAGTTTAAGACTTTTAGTTTTTCGTTATTTCTGATGACCACCTCACAGTGTGTCATCCAAACTGATAGGGATGGTGAGACCCTGGTGGACCAGGATCCTTCTTCCCCCTGTGGACAGTGGATTTCTTGGATGGCCAAGATATATACAGGGGGATTTCACAGGTAGTCCAGTTTTTTGGCTTGGGACATGTAAGCCCTGGCTCCCATGATGTTTAGCATCCCTATTGTTACTGAGGTGCCCGCGGCGCCTCAGGAGCAGTTGGGAGGGCCGCCTGGCCCACATCCAACGCCCTTGTTGCTGGTCCTGCTTCATGTCATAGGACCAGTATATTCTGTGGCATCATCTGATTCCATACCTTGCGTCAATTTCTCATGGAAATTGCAGTTTTTTAGATTTGCGGCATATTCTTCCACTTGTGACCCTTGGTTAATTGGTGCAGTGCGCTGATTTGGTTCTGCGGTTTTGGGGTGCAATTTTGGAGAATTGGGTCCCGCTTTTCCACTCATATTAGAGCCAAATTGTTCTGCTAATTTTTCATGATTGATGTCATTTGGTAATTCATTCACATTGTTGAGAAAATTTTCCCTTTGGGCGTACTGCTCTTATTGGGTGACTCAGATAATTTCCTCCATGTCCTCCTCAGCTTGGGAGTCTGTTCTGATTGGTTGGATCGGACAATTTCCTAAATGTCTTCCTGAATTTTGCCAGGGTCGATGGTGGAGGCCACAAGTGCTGCCTCCTTGGTCACTTCCCGCTTGCAGGCCTTTTGCAGCATTTTGCATGCTTTGGGTGTTACTGGGTCTATGATGAGGTAGTGCCCATCCTCTCCCCATTGAAATGTGTGGTTGGCATCTACCATTTTGCCAAATTCTGCATCATTTTCATCCATGGCGCCTTCACAGAAATCTGGGGCCATGATGCCCTCCTTCACTGGGCATGTATGTTCCTTGTGTCCTAGTGCGGTGCAGTGGTTGCAGATTGGCAGTGCACGTTCCAATGTGATATGGAATGGTTCTGCCACCTTCCCATCTGGGAGGTGACATTGTGCTATGCGAGGGATTCTTGTGAGATCCTCAGCCACCTCAGGGATCAGGTGGATTATGGCGATTGCCTTTCCTGTTAACAGGTTCAGCATTAATTGGAATATTTGTAATTCTAATTGTCTAATATCTCTGTAGTGCTTGAGTCCAACTCGGAGCTCTTCCTTGATTTGCTTTTGGGGAAGGTTGATGGGAAGCAAGTTGAAAGAGATGAACAAAGTGCTTGCTTTGTTCCATCTGGTGTTCACGGTGCGCACAATTTGTTTGCCCTTGGGGAGGGCAGCTTTGATGCATACTTTTGCAGCGGCATCTGTGTCTTCTTCAGTCTCAAAGCCTAAATTGACCCAGCTGCATGGGACCATTTCCATGTTCATGTACACCGCATAGGGAAAGAGGGAGGCCTGAGCCTTGTGCACTTTTTTCCACAAAGTTGGTAACTCAACCCCTAGGTAGAGTCAGAGCCATGCTCTACTTTCAAAAGGGGTTGGTTGTACTGGATTTCCATGTACTGGTTGTGTTTCATGGTAAACTCCACAAATTTGGGAGGTGGTTCAGTTTGTGGTTTCTTGGCGGCATTGGTTCCTGGTCCCTCTCCAGGGCGCTTCTTGCCCTTTATCTGTTATGGCTTTCGCCCAGTTCAATTTGAGATTTGTTGTAAACGCCCATTTTTCCTGTGTGATTATCAAAAATTGCTGTTCAAATTAGATCATAGTAACTAATGTTATTGTTATGGGAAAGAAAAGCTCCTGTAGTGGGGTCTGACAATTGATTTTTAGCTATCTTCCAGACTAGCTAGAGCTTTTTAAATTTGGCACACTTATGTATCTCCATTGACAATACAGTAATCCTTTAATAAATCTATTTTTTATAATTAAAATAAAAAGTTCAATATGTAACAAATGAAAATCCTATATTTTTTTATGTTAGTTAGTTTAATATTTAGCTTATTCAAAAATTTCAAGATAGCAACCTTCCAGACTTTCTAAAGCTTTGCAACTTGGCACAATTATGTATCTCCCATGACAATACAACAATCCATTTGAAAAAATGAAAACTTTGAGTTTTACAAAAAAAGTTCATAAAAAATTAAATATTTTACTTATATCTTGTTCTCAAATTACTGTGGTGTCTGTTTGTCTGTCTGTAATGGAATCTTAATTTATTTGAGATGGGCTGACCTGTGGATTATACTGCACCAATTAATAGAAAATTGAATTAATGGGAAAGGAAGATAAAGCCTAAAAAACATCTACGTGTGGCGTTCTGATAGGCCAGGAACTCCATGGAACGCTTTATATTTTTCTCTTGGTTTGGGGCATTGGTGCGCAATGCCAATACAATCATAATCATCCCCTACCCAAAGATAAGCTACCAGGATCAAACTTGGGAAGCAGTGGTCATTGAGTCTATACTCTACCACTGGTGTACCTTTTTTAACACTAGTGGTGCCAACACCAAAAGGGGTAGCTACCACACATCTTTATTTTCAAATGAGCCAAACAAAGGGTTTATTAGAAATAAAAATTCCCAATATGGCACCTCATCTAACAGCCTAGAAAGCCATATAAGAAGGTGAGGAAGCTTTGAGGAAACTTCTGTCCAGCGCCTGCTTTAGCTAGTGGACCATGATGGATAGCATTGTGATGGGAGCATCAGCAACATGTGACATAAGGCGGTATAGTTGTGGGTTTTCTTTGTTTATGAGGACAGCGGTTTCCATCACCTCAATGAATTGGGGAAGTTGATGCTAAGAAACAGTAATGAGAGCAGGCACACAAGTAAATGACTTGATGCGGTGGAAAATTTCAGGGTAATTAGGATCAAAAAAGAGGTTTTTCTGCATTGATGCAAGCACGGCTCACTCCAAAAGCAAGCTCCTCAAATTTTGTATTCTGAATCCTCATCAAAATCATGGGGAAAATTTGGGATGGGAATACCCTCAACAAGGGGTTCCATCGCCCCATGAAGATGTTGGCGGAGGAGGGTGTTGAATGGAGCAGCTGCTGCTTCTACCGCCAATTTTTTTATACTATTATAATTAGGAAAAACCGTTTTTAGAGCAAAAATGGCGGAAATGCAAATTAAGAGGATTTACAAGTAATTCCTTCAAAGCGAAATCTAGCTTGAAGTTATATGGCCAATCACTATCATCATTCCATTTAAGGCACTCAAATGGATTTAGCTCAGCCAATGCTGTGCCAGCCACCAGAATTGAAGTGGTGGCTGGAGATGATTGGTTATGGACAGTTGACCATGGCAGCTCAGCTGAAACTGAGTCAGCCATCAACTTAGGATTCAGTAATCCAGTTGAATTATTTTAAATTTTTAAAATTTGAATTCTGATTGGGCGCCACTTTGGGAGCTGCACCCAATTTCCACAAGGCTGAGGTAGGAGGATTGAGCCCCATTCAAAGAATTGTGGCAAAGTGGCCGCTGACCCAATGCTGGAAGAAGGAATGGCAGAAGCAGCAGGGACAGAAGCCGTGGGGCACTAGCATTCGAAATGATTGATTTCAAAGCACAAGGGGCAAATGACATGGCCATTCTAAATGCATGCTCAGAATGGGTGATCAGGGGCAGATCTGATCACAGTGAGAGGGGAATAATGAGGTGGGGATTACAATGAAATGAGCAGATTGTTGCAAAGGCATGAGGCTCTGCCAACTGACCTGCCCCATTGGGAACCACAAACTGCAGCATGGAGTCTGCGCTGTAAATGGTCAAACCCTCTGTGAGCTCATGGTGGAGGCGTTTAGGGGAGAGATTGGAGGGCAAACCAGAAAACTGGACCACCAAAGTGGCCTCATCTGGGAGCTGGGTTCAAATGGTGGGAATGGGAATTTTTTTTATAAATGATTTGAAGCTTGGCTGCTGCTGCATCAGCTTCCAAATGGAAGCCAAGATCAAACTACCCCTTAAAGGGGTAGAAGTCAAATATGGTGGGTTTAAATTCTGCCGTGGCAGGGCGTATGGCTACCAACCTGAAGGTTGTGGGTTCAATTCCCGCCCTTCGCACATTGATCAGGGTGCCAGCCAAGGAAGCTATTGGCGGTTAGTAGGTCTAATAACACGAAAACCTTACCCATGACGTAACCAGAAAAATTTGAGTCCCAATCAGGAGGTGGAAAAACTTTCTTTGATGGAGTTGACCCTGTTCAGATTTCATGTCATTTCTTTCTTTCTTTCAGTAATGCCTATCCCCTGGTCAGCTTTCCTCAGTTAAAAAAAAATAAATTCTGCCGTGGCCATCTCAATGATGGCCATGCTTGCATATGGGAAGAGATTCCCATATTTGACCTGGAGGCCAAACCACAAATTGCTCCATGAGAGCACCAAAGAGCTCCATAGCACCACTTGGGAGCTTGCGAGGTGGTGGGCCAAGTCCTGAGGGAGGACATAACGCCCAGTAGCGTTGGGAGGGCTAGAAGAGCCAGCCCAGGTGCACTTCAGCGGCGGCCAAAAGATGCCAGATGGCAGTGCACCACCACCCCAAGCTGGGAAAGCAGGCATTGATTGCATTGACATCAGTAAGTTTTGGCTTGATTGAGCTGTCATTTTTTGTATATATTTTTTAAAATCCGAATTTTGCTTCAATTTAGTTATCAAAGTGAAATAAGATGCTCTCTATCACTGGTGTACGCTCCTTATGTAGTGGAATCTTGCAATTAATTTTTAACTACCTTCCAGACAAGCTTAAGCTTTTAAATTTTGCACACTTTTGTATCTCCCTTGACAACAAAATATCTACTTAAAAAATTATGAAATTTTAATTTTACAAAAACAAAATTTTAAAACAGTAAGATATTTTACTTAGGTCTTGTTTGATAAGCAATTTATAGTAAGGGTTGATAGCTTAAGGGGTTAGTATAAAAGTTTTATAGCATCATGACAATAAACTTTAATACCTGGACATGATGGACATCCCTTATTTCATTGAGACCCAAAAAACAATCTGGAAATATGTACATCACCCTCTATTGCAGCCTCAAGTCCGCTCCCATGTGTGGCGCTGCCTGAGGCGGGTGTATCATACAGCTGAGCGCTCTAACGCTTTACACTCATCCTGTGTCATGTGCGGCCAGTATGGAACGCTGTAAAACGCCTGGAGAAGTGCCCCACCTCTAAAGTGATATGGCGCGAAGTTCAACGTCTGCTGGGCCAGGATCAAACGCATCCCTTCAGTCTGTCAAGAGATATGTTTGCTCTATCAATGGCCTCCTCCCTTCCACCCTCCCTCCATGCTCTGATGGTTGCAATCGCCATGTGGACCATCCACACGATTGTCTTAGATGCCATCGCAAGCTCCACCCCCACCCTCCCAGAAACTGTCCACAGATTCCAGTCTCATTTGGTGAACCACTTTCAAGCATGGATGTTTGGATACCTCCCACCGCGTCGCTGACAACTGGTCTCCTCCTGGTTCCCAGTCTGGTTCATCAAATCAGACCCCTTCCTCCACATGTGCTCAATAGTGGCTACGGCCCCTTCACACGTTCCCTCCCCTCCCCATAAGTGGCGTTCCCGCTGGCAACAAGAGATAGCATCGCTTCTCTGGGGTGCCTCCCCCGGTACTAAGTTTATCTGTCCTGAGTCATATTCAGAAGTGTCCATCTTATGGTCAGCCTTCCCCGCAATAAACTTAAAACAATAAACTTTATTAACACTTTTCTCTCTCGTTGCAATCACTTTTGCAACATATTTAATTCAAGTCTGATTCTAGTTTGTTAATCTCACAGAGGAGATTAGTCTGAGCCCATGTCAGGGAGCAGTTGGGCAAGTAAGGTAAGAGGAGCAGGTGGTAGGCCCGCGGCCTCAAACTTTCAAAACTTCCTCAGAGAAAAAGAAGGAATAGAAAAAAATAAAAAAACTGGCGGTTACTAGTTCCCCAGAAATCCTCACATGGCAAGCGCGATGCAACCAGTACATCAACACGCTGCACTCCCAACCACTCTTGTCAGTGGAATACGGAGTCTGTATGTTTCTGGACATCCAACAAACAGCTCCATGGGAAAATTTTGTGGGGATGTGTACACTTTTTTCCTGACCATGATGTACATCGCACCTCACTCATGTCACGCGGTTGGCTGGACCTCAGTTTCAAAAACAAGGAGGCAGCAGATGAAGCTGCTGCGGTGTGTGTAGTGATTGACCTCCCTGAAGGGCATCAGGTCATCAAAACCAAATGCACCAGATGGACAAAATCCAACCAAATTCTCCTCACGTTTGACTTTTTGCCTACTACAGTAAAACGTGCCATTTTGAAGCAGCACCTGAAAGATGGTCTCACTGTATACAGCGAAATACAATCTTTTGAAATGCAACGCTTTATGCTGATGCCATACCTGTGCACCGGCAAAGCCAGTGCAGTTCTGACCCCAACTGAGGAGATCATGAAGGACCTAACCCAGATCCTGCACTCTACATATATCAATATTGAAGGGCATACCACCCACCCTTTACAGGTAACCGTGGACAGCGCGCCCCCCATCTGCACCCACTGTGACGCATTCAGCCATAAGGCATATGCATGCCCCACCAAGGAGGGCATCACATTCCAAGAGCACCCCTCGGTGGCTATGGTCAGCGGAGAGGCGCACTACAAACCAACCGCAAGCACCAAAGAAGTTTTTCATGGGGAGCACAAGGCTGCTACCTACTGGTAAAACCTATTTCCCCGCAAGAGCAGAAGAAGACCAAGCAGGCCCATAGGGCCATGGCCAAGGAAGCGGCCAAAGTCACCACCGCTATCCCACACTCCCAACGCCAGGAGGACATTGAAACCTTCTCAGCAGAAGCAACTTAGGAATCCCTCAACCAATCAGATTGGGAAGCTCATGCCAATTGGGCCACCCGATCTGAGGATCCAATGGGCTACTTGATCTCACCTGATCTTTGCAACCAAGCTCCAGTTGAAACCGACTTGGGGTCCAACCTACCTGAAAATTTTTTTTGACCCAATTGTTGGTGCACCAAACTCATCCGCACCACAAAAAATTTGTTTGACGTCGGGGAAACAAAAAGCAAAAACAAAAGCCAACGTGAACCTTTCTGCTAAAGTTAACAAAACTACCAATAGCGTTGCTGCAAACACCCACGCTGCCATGAAGGCCTGTGGGGATCTAGAGGAGGCTAGTGGGCCCAGGTGCCCACCCCCTCACACCTAAGGCGTGATGGGGGAAACAATCACTTTAGGGATGTTGAATATTGCTGGTATCAAGGACTCACTGACCCAGGCTAGGAAACTGAGTTTTTTACAAAAAAATTTACCTGTGGATATCCTGGCCATCCAGGAGTCCCACTGTCCATGAGGTTCTGAGGATGCTTGCAAAACCATGCTCCTCCTATCCCTATCCTTTTGGTCAGAGCACTGTGGGGTGCTAGTTCAGAAAAACAATTTTTTCAAAATTTTATTGTCAGAATCCTTCCTCAATGGCTGAGTCCTCATTGTCACTTTCTCGTGGGCTGATGTGGTACACGCTATCATCAACATCTATGACCCAATCTGTGCACAAGAGCGTCAGGAATTTTTCTCATTGGTCAAATCCCTCCCATTACCCCCAGACCCTTTTGTAGTTGGCGACATGAACTGTTGGCTAAACACACCTACGGACTGTTGGCCTTCCTCCTCCCACGCCCTCCAGGGTCACGTAGAACTTTGCGTTCTAAAGGCCACCCTTGGGTTAATGGATGTCTCCACGGCGAGCCCTGCTGCTCAAAAACATGACGCGCCCCCACGTCCGCAACAGCCAATTAAGGTCCGTGACTTGCATCAACCTTATCCTTACACCGGCGAAATTCCAACCCCACATTTCCTACTTCAAAACAGCAAAAATAGAATTCTCCGACCACTGACTGGTCTCAATAACCTACCACCTACCTTTCACAGTGGCTAAGGCCCCACATTGGTGCAAACTCCGCCCTCCTGAACTTGCATCGCCAGGTTTTTCACTTGGGTTGAATCAGCAACTTTGGCAAAAGAGTTTATTACACCATTTTGTGCGGACCCTATCTCCACATGGTCAACCTTCAAAGAGGATATCATCCGCCACTCTCGCCACCTCTCCTCCCAGCGCTCACGAGCCACATCAGCCATCATTTCACGCACTCTGGCAGAGTTGGCACACCTGGAGTCCAACATCCCAGCTACAGGCTACAACCCTGCATGGGCTGGAAGTGGGAGGAAGCAGCTGCCCACCTCAACGCACTTGAAAGGCTACACAAACATTGGGTTTGTGTTCAGTACAGGGCCAAACGCATTACAGAGGGCAACAAGTGCACCGCATATTTTTTTAAAAATCCTTTTGCACTACATCAGAGTGTGGCCTGCACAAAGTTCTGAAGATTGGATGCTTCCATTGCAGATACGCCAGCTGAAGTGGCAATCAATTTACAAAAGTATCACTCCGAGTTATACTGATCTGATCCAATTCAGCTGGCCAATGTGGTGGAATTTTTCAACTGAACCCACATCCGCACATTTTCTGATACCCAGAAATAATGAATTTGATTACTCCGAATGAACTATGGACAGCCATCCGCGGTGCACCAAATTGGAAATGCCCAGGCCCAGATGGCATTCCATATGAATTCTATAAAAAGTACTTCAAATATATATCCCCACTGCTGATTGCCTCACTTAACCAGAGCCTTTTGGAAACGCGCCTTCTACCAGGAGGACAAGAGGCCTTCACCATCACACTCTTCAAGAAAGGGGACAAGCTAAACTTAGCCAACTGGCGCCCCATTTCTTTAACTAACACGGAAACAAAAATTTTAACTAAAATCATGGCTAACCCGTTTAGGGATTGTAGCATCTGCCACCATCTCCCCAGAACAATTTGGTTTCATAACCAGAAGGTCGATTTGGGACAACATGCACTCTGTGGCTAACGCATGCCAGTCCACAGCCTCTGGGGCACTTGTATTCTTGGACCAACAGAAGGCCTATGATAGAGTAAACTGGGAATACCTCAGAACATGCCTCCATCAATTCCGCCTACCCCTCGCTTCATCAATTGGG